CAGCCCTTTCCCTATATCTATAAGATACTCTACAGTTCCTCCACTTTCAGGTTCTGAACTGCAGTTCCCTCATTACATGTGCTGTCAGGCATCCCTTTTCTTGTTCTGTTACACGCATAAAAAAACTAAGACATACAACTATCAGTTGAATTATTTATTCCTATGTCTGGCTTGTCCCATTAGAATTAACATACTACATGTGCCTTGTGTTAAATATTAGCTTCATATGTTAAGACAGCAAAGTCACAAATTATGCATAGTTTATGGCATTTTATCTCCAAATTTCAGTGAGTATTATATATTTTGTTTCCAGCTACCAGTCGATTACTAGTTGTGTGACCCTGGGTAAATGACAACTCGTTTGCCAGATAACCTTCAGAAAGTAAATTAACTGCTGCATGTCTCCATTTCTCTCATCTCAGAAATGATCAGAAGACAAATGTATTTCTGATTTGAGATCCAAAGTCTATTAGTAGCTACTCCCACACCTTGGAAAATCCAGTGTAAAAACAGGTGTACTACTGCTTACCCAAAACAGACTGTGAGTTGGAGCTGGTTTCTGTGAAGTAGTTTTGACACCTTTGGAGTGCCATTACTTCAAAATGCGATCAGGTGTCTCAGGCAATGCACGTGCTGTGCTTAGAGCCTAATGTTACCGTTACCTTAATGGCTAAATCACAATGTTCACTGGCGGTAGTGAGTTGCTCAATGTGTCTATCCACTTCTGCTACCGATAAACTGCAGCTGCTTTTCTTCCTCCCGCAGACAACATTTTCCAGGCCTGTCAGCACTCTTTGCAGTTCCGAATTCAGGTCACTACAGTTATCTAAAAAGAAAACAAAACAAAAACAAATATTGCAACAGTCAGTGACTCAGTGTAAAAACAAACTCTAATCCAGGAAGTGGCTGTTCATGAACAGCTAGGAACTGAATCTGTTCATGAAATGGCCCTGCAATCTGCCACTTTTTCGTCAACAACTGATAGGCTAAAATACCATAACCAGATCAACTGAAATCACAAGTTACCGCTTATCGACAAATAACACTCCCCCTACTTAGATGAAGTGTTAAATCTTTCTTCAGAAACCTCTCTCTTCTGGAGGACAACATTTTAAGATACCATATGCTCACATATTACGTTATTTCTTCTTTCCTATTCTTTTTACTATTTAGGGTCCATTATCTCAATTTTATTACCCTCAAAGGTTTTTCTCTGTAAATTCAACATTTTTTCTGCCTGGTATATTCCCTTGCATTTTGACTCAATTTTTTTCAGAGGAATTTTTGTGGTTATACTTACACATTGCAAAATTTAATAAATCCTAGTGTTTACAGAAATGATCCCTACCAACTACCTTGGAGCCTATGTTTCTTTTTCATAGCTTTTCTTCTTCAAATGTGTAAAGGATAAGGGCGGGGACAGCCACTAAACAAATGACAGATGTTCTCTACTAACTCCTTTCTCCTGTCAAAGGCAAAGGGAAAGGGGATAAAGTAGAAAGACTTATGGATGGGAAAAGAAAACTAAAACAGTTCCAATGAAACAGTACTAATAACAAAATAATGAAAATAATGGAAATTTTGCTTTCTTTTAGGTAAATATAGTGACTCGCATGCAAGGGGTGTACTATGGGACAACAGTGCGCCAGCAGCTCCTACACCTACAGCGACAGGAATTCTTTTGTATATATACATGTGGATGTAAGTTTTTTATTTTTATATTAATTCATAATTCATATATTAAAATATATACACATATATTTTATATTCCCTTTTAAAAAAAAGAGAAGCAAAGAAAGCCCAGGTAATGACAGACTGGTCAGTCTCACCTCCATGTCAGGTAAAATCATAGACCAAGATCCTCCTGGTAGCTGTACTAAAGCACACGAAAAATAACGAGTTGATCGGTGACAGCCAACACGGCTTCACTAAGGGCAAATTGTGCCTGACTAATTTAGTGGCTTATGACAAAGCTACAGCACTGGTTGACATGGGAAAAGTGACTGATGTTATTTACCTGGACTTGTGCAAGGCGTTTGACACTGTCCCACATGACATCCTTGTCTCTAAGATGGAGAGACATGGATTTGACAGATGGACCACTCGGTGGATAAAGAACTGGCTGGATGGTCCCACTCAAAGAGTTGTCGTCAGTGGCTCAATGTCCACATGGAGACCAGTGTCCCCCTGTTCCTCAGGGGTCTGTTCTGGGTCCAGGG